ATGACGATATTAATCTGTCACAATGGCACGAGTGATCAGCCACGCCCCTTCTCTGTGGCAAGGCAATCAGGCGAAAGGTCAAAAGAGTTTAGAAGGAGTAACCACACGCACACACTCTCCGATCCCTTCTTTCATTACCTGTCGATGACCTGCGAACATCCAGGTAGGTAGTAATAGCAAGAAAAGAAAATTGCCATCTTTGGTGAACTTACTGGTAACATTGTCATTAGCTTTTGAATACCTTTCTCTTTTTTTTATCTTTCATTGGGGATGAGTGAGTATCGTTGACAAGGAAATATTCAATATTCTTGTGAGGTTAAAGTTGTTCGATTCCGCTGCTGTTGATAGGCATGATAAGAAAATACTATCTTTTAAAAATGTAATGTGTGGATTAGTAATGGTAATCAATCGAAAATAACTAAAGATTCACAATACTATCAGTAAAAAAATAATTTTTCTATTTGGCGTTATACAGTTCATAAAAATATGACACTTTCATGGTGCCTTCCCGAGTGCCTTTGATTATAGAAATCCAAGCAGTAGAGGTGAGAAGAGGAAGAAAAGAAAAAAAAGAAGATAATCACTATAATCGACATCATCCTCTCATGGAGAAAAGGAAGAACAATAAACAACAATAGAAAGGTGGAAAGAGAAAGAGGTTAATTATTACAGTGATTTTTCTTCTAACTCGCTTTCTTCAAGACACGCAGAAATGGCCTCAATCTTTCCCTTCGGTGGCGGAGTGAGTGCACGTCGTCGCTGAACTCTGGCCCTGATGGCACTGTGGCACTCGACGACTCTTAGCGTTTTCCTTTTCTGTTATTATTTTTCCATTATTATTATTATCATTATTTTAGTGTTTTAATTTGTACGAATGTTAACGATGAATGTTATTGTGTGTGTGTGTGTTTATGTGTGTGTGTGTGTGTGTGTTTATGTGTGTGTGTGTGTGTGTGTGTTAGAGAGAGAGAGAGAGAGAGAGAGAGAGAGAGAGAGAGAGAGAGAGAGAGAGAGAGAGAGAGAGAGAGAGAGGGTGAAGACGGCAACAGACGCAGACACCAACACAGACAGACCATCAAACAGACAAGAGATCCGTATCTTTATTCATTGAAAGGTCTCTGAATGACATCTACAAAATATGAATCCACGAAAAAAAGAAAAAGTAAAAAAATCACACACTACCCCCCCCGCGAATCTTTTGGAAAACAATAAATAGAATTCCTATAGCAAGACTTCTTTCTATGTATCACACACTATCACACACTACATCTCGGCTATAATGGACACCTTATCCATGTACAACAAGTCTTGATGATGTTCTTGTATGTACAGGTAATAGCAGGAATCATTATCAAATTGTTGACTATTACGGTTTCATTGTGACGGAGGGGTAGGGGGGGGGGCAGGCCGTGCAGAGTTATAAGATGGGATTCAGTGATATGTTTATTGTTACCCAGTGAGAGAGAGAGAGGGGGATGGGGAGGGAGGGGGGGAGAGGGAGAGAAGAGAGAGGGAGAGGAGAGAAAGAGAGAGAGAGAGAAGAGAGAGAGAGAGAGAGAGAGAGAGAGAGAGAGAGAGAGAGAGAGAGAGAGAGAGGGAGGGAGAGAGAGAGGGAGAGGGGGAGGGGGAGAGAGAGGGAGAGAAAGAGAGAAAGGAGAGAAAGGAGAAAAGAGATAGAGAGAGAGAAAAAAAGAGAGACAGAGACAGACAGACACAGAGGCTGACAGAGACAGAGGCAGATAGACAGACAGACAGGGAGAAAGAAACATTAAAGAAAGATATAATGAATGACCAAACTAACTGGATCAGAACTGAGCCTCGGGCCCGCTGATGCAAAGATCATTATTTTGTGTGCATTGAAATCTCCCGCGGGGCAGAATTACTGTGAACTGTCGCGTGGCGTCATTTCCTACTGCATTCTCTTAGCCGCTGTAAATACATTAATCCCCTTCATATTTCCTTCGTTTTCGTATGGCTATCATGCAGATACACTAATCACCGGTATTATCATCAGGACTGTAGATAATCAACGCACCGTTACGCCAAAACAGAGGAGAATCGAAATAGCCACATCATTGAATCAGCGACATTCCTAAGGGAAATCAGATTTCACTGTCATCAGGAAAACATTAGACGTCACTCATGCGCATTACGTCATCACGTTGCCTTCACTATTCCTCCGTCACTATCACGACCACCTTTCCCGAAGAACCATTGTCATCAGGAGCCAAAATATGGGTTATGGGAGCTGGCGTGGGGACGGAGTGACAGGCAATATAACATGGTTTTGGGAGAGAGAAGATTTAATCATTACCCTATACTAAGGGAGGTGTTTGTGTGTGTGTGTGTGTGTGTGTGTGTGTGTGTGTGTGTGTGTGTGTGTGTGTGTATGTGTGTGTGTGCGTGTGTGTGTTTGTTTGTTTGTTTACCTGTATATGCATGTCTTTATTTTATGATAAAAATAAAGATTTCGTTTACCAAAACATATATATATATATATATATATATATATATATATATATATACACACACACACACGCATATATACCTGTGGGTGTGGAATCGTTTGGCTTATCGTGGTAAAATCGCGCGCGTTTGAATCACAAAGACTGCAAACAGTGCAGTTCGCAGTTCATTAACAACAATCAAAACTATTGTGCTTTATGATCTCATTAAATGTGAACTTTCTCATACCTTGCGTAGTTGATGTAGTTAATCACACACACACACATACACATACACATACACATACACATACACATACACATACACACACACACACATACACATACACATACACACACACACACAAACACTA